GTAATTTAAAAGAAAAGTAAAGGGCCGAAAACCTGGTGCCTTTTAATGACTCTAGAAAAGCAGCGTAGTTAGAATGAGAAAACAAACAACATTAAAATGCTGCGGGGTCCAAAGATGCTAACATTAGTGTGTTGACGGCATTGAGAAAATTAACAATGAAGCCGCCTGCAAAGTGGCAAACAATGTTGGCACAAGGAAATGCTGCAAAATGTTGAAAGTTGATAACATAAAAAAAATAATTATGGGGGTGAACAGTAAAAAAAACGAATGACATGATGACAATAAAAAAAAAATTGATGACTAGATGGGAATGAAGGATGAATGGGTGATAACAAAGGATTTCACGGCCGGGGGCAATTATGACCAAGGGTCCCAATGTGTTGGGGCCTGAGAAATACGGCCGGAGCGTGTGACCAAAGGCTGACGACCTGTCTTGGTGACGTTCTTTGATCCTGGAGGGCGTCCTGGTGCCCGGCGGCCTCGCCCACGTCCTCGTGGAGACTCAGTGTCCTTGGACGGGCTTCCTTGAATAGAGTCGTGTAGGACTGTACCTTGAGGAGATAGGACAGGAGGAGGGGTCCCGGTCTCATGAGAATCCACAGAAGCCGTCTCATGCTGATCGTCCTCAGACTCTTCTGGAGATTTATCAGCGTTGGCAAGGAACTGCTGATCCGGAATGAAGTCCACGACCTCATCGAGAGTCCTGGGCTGCTCCTGATCCGCTGTAGTGGGCGGGGGAGTCTTGGGCTGCTCCTGCACCGGTGTCTCAGGTGTCACCACCGGCGTAGTTGGTGGAACCACAGGCTGCCGAGATGGTAACTCCGTGCCGGTAGGCAGCCCCTCTGGCTCTGAAGTCGGAATGGGTGGGCGGCCGCTCTCATCGTCCTCCTTCGTCAGCCTCCTGCGCACCTCGTCCACCGAGACCCTCAAGATGGAGCCGTCATTGAGTTGCACCACGTAGACCCTGCAACCTAAAGCCTCCTTAAGAAACCCAGCCTCCCAGGAAGTGGAACCTCTTACCCTTTTTAGTGCCCAGACCAGAGTGCCTGGTTGGAGAGGAGGTTCTGTCGAAGTAAGAGTTGGCCAGCTGTCCGGGTGAAGGCGCCGGAGAGGAGACCTTGAAGGCCGATTTGAGAACATCACTTCGGCTGGAGAAACGCCATTGGCTGACGAAGGACGATTCCTCATAGAGTGGAGCACCCTAGCCAGCCTGGCGTGGAAATCCCCTTCGGTGAACTTCCTCAGGAGCTCCTTCACAGACCGGACAGCCCTTTCCGCCAACCCGTTGGACGCTGGATGCCAAGGTGGAGACATGACGTGGCGAACGTTGTTGTGTAGAAGGAACTGCTCAAACTCCTTGGATACCAATTGAGCACCGTTGTCGTTCACAATAGTACAGGGTATACCAAAATCTGAAAAGATGTATCTTACATGAGTGATCAACGTAGCAGCAGTTAGATTATTTACCACCTTTACAACGGGCCATTTGCTGTGAGCATCAATTCCAATCAGAAGGTAGTGTCCCTCGACAGGGCCAGCATAGTCAAGGTGGACTCTTTCCCAAACTTCACGAGCAGCTGGCCAACAAGTTGACGAAGATTTTGGAGGAGCACTGGCGTTCTTCTGGCATTCCTCGCACGCCGTGACCTCCTTCTCCAGCTCCCGGGACATCCCTGGCCACCAGATCAGGGACCTAGCCATTGCCTTGGTGTGGGCAATCCCAAAGTGAAGGGAGTGCGCCAGCCTCAAAGCGATGTCTTGCAGAGCAGGTGGCACAACAGCACAAGAGCCTCGGAGGAGACAGCCCTTCATCATAGATAGCTCATCCCTCTTCTGGTAATAGGGTTTCGCTTCTTCTGGAACAGATTGAGGCCAACCAAACTTCACCCAATGTGTTACCTGTTTCAGAAGGGGGTCGGCGGAGGTGGCGTTAGCAATGTCCTTTGCGCCAATGGGTGACCAACTCCGAGCCTCCAGGAGGAAAATGCCCACAGGCTCCATCTCAGCATCCTCACAAGGCAAAGGGCATCGGCTGAGATAATCCGCGTTCCCCATCTTGCTGCCTGGCCTGTGCAGTAGAACATAATCATAAGCACTAAGTTTCAGCGCCCACCTGATCATACGAGGAGAAAGATGCTCTGGAATCTGAGCCTCAGCTCCCAACAGTGGCAACAGCGGTTTGTGGTCAGTCAGGATCTGAAAAGAACGACCAAAAACATACTGATGAAACTTGGACACTCCAAATATAATTGCCAATGCTTCCCGGTCCAGCTGAGAGTAGTTTCGTTCTACTTTGGAACGGGTCCGAGATGCAAAACAGATTGGAGCATGTTCTTCTACACCTTGGGAATTCTTCGTACAGTGGCTCAATACTGCACCTACCCCGACAGGGGAGGCATCCACAGCTAAAACTAGAGGGATCTTCAAACTGTAGTGGACCAAGACTGCCTTTGAGGTTAGCTGCGCCTTGACTGCCAGTAACGCCTCTTCGTGGGGTTTGCCCCATTGAAACGAAGCGCCTTTATCCAGAAGGCGGTGTAAGGGTTCCAATATGGTGGCCTTCCCCTTGAAGAATCTACTGTAGAAGGATATTATTCCTAACAGAGATTGTAAGGCTTTCTCGTCAGCTGGTACGGGGGCGTCCAAAATGGCTTGACACTTCTCTTGAGTTGGATGAATGCCCTTGGCGTCCACGAGGAATCCTAAGATCTCCAAAGAATCGGTAATGAAGGTACACTTCTCAGTGTTTAACCTCAAACCAGCTTGACTCAGAACCAGAAGAGCATTTTCAAGGCGAGACACATATTGAGGAAAACTTGATGCAAAGATATAGACATTGTCCTGGTATGCCACCACGCCCTCCAGCTTACCCAAAAGACCATCCATGATACGCTGGAAGATAGCTGGCGCTGTCTTGACGCCAAACTGGAGGGTGGTGGGGCGGAAGAGGCCTCGTTTGGAATTGACTACCATCAGCATAGAACTTTCTTCGTCCACAGGTATCTGAAGATAAGCCTCCTTGCAGTCTAATTCTCCGAATATCTTGGCACCTGAAGCAGCAGCTAGAACCTCTGAAACCGTTGGGGAACAGTAAGAATCATTATGCAATGCTGGATTCAGAGTACTTTTATAATCGGCACACAGCCTCAACTCTCCATTCCTCTTCTGAACGGGAACAAGCCCGCTAGCCCAAGCTGAGACTTCAGTTGGGATCCAGACTGAAGCGCTGATGTTGCGATCCACTGCCTCATTGTACTTGGTGGTCAAGGGAAAAGGTATAGAGCGGGCAGGTTGGTACTTAGGCTTTGACCCTGGTTTGAGATGAAGATGTACCGGAGGGCCATTGTACCTTCCTGTACCAGTACCTGTAGCACACGGAAACTTTGATGCCCAAGCGCCAATGTTGACAGGAGAGAGTTGTTGAGGTCTTGGAGGAGCCACCACCCTGGCAGCTTGAACTTCGACTGCATTGATGGAGTACTTCTCAATTTGAAGAGCTTCACGAAGGAAGTTCCTTCCCCAGAAGGCCCGGATCCAGTTTCTCCCAAGTAGAGTTGGCGAGCGCTTAGGATCAACAGGACTGATTAACAGAGGTAACTTAAAAGTCTTACCCCCGAAGGTGACTGATACCTCAACCATTGATCCAGTTGCATGTGGAGTGTCACAACCCCAGGCGAACAGCTCTACTGGAGACATCTTGGTGTCCATAGCAGTTCCAAAATGCTGGCGGAAGGTGGCCTCTGCGATGACGGTCTTCTGGGCCCCATCATCAAATTGCATGGTGATGGGTCTCCCGTTGACCAACAAGGTAAGGTAGACAGGGTCATCTTCCGGATCATACATTTGATGAGACTGGATCTGAAACAGCTCAGCAAAAGGATTGAAGGGTCTGCAGGCAGGAGGTACAACTACATTAGAAGTGCTGGGCTGGGAGGACTGAGGCGGCTGTGCAGACAAATAATTAGTAAGAGCAGAGTTATTTGACTTCTTCGAGCGACAAGCCTTTTCTAAATGGCCAACCTTCCCGCAGCCAGCACATTTACACTTGTTGTAACCTAAACCACATCTTCTTACAGAGTGACCTGCCTCCCCACAACGAAAACAAGTCAAGTTTCCAGTTGCATTCGGTTTCTTCTTTCCGCCGCCACTGCCTCGACCACCGTTGTCCCGCGGTTTGTTGTTGAAGTTGACAGCGTGGACTTCGGCGGTGAGCGTGTTGACAAATTGAATGCAGCGCTTGCTAACTTCAGATGAGTTCACTATGATCTTGGCTTCTTGAAGGGTGCATTCCTGCTCCCTATAGAGACGCCTTTGCAGAGATGAATCCCGCAAGCCCCTCTTGAGCTGAAAGAGCGCTATGCGGTCTGCATGCCAGCCCAAGGCGAGGCCCTCCACCATCGAACGAAGAGCAGCAGCATACTGGCCTCCAGACTCTCCCTCCTTTTGGAATCGACAAACAAACTCATTGAACAACACTCCCTGGTTGATTGTAGGCTTGATGTTCCCTTGAAGTGCCTCCACGATAGCAGCGAAAGTCTCCCGCTCTATCGTGCTTGGATGAAGCCACTCCCCCAGGTATCGCCTGGTTTCGACGCAAATAGCCTTGTAGAGGATGCCTCTCTTCTGCGTATCAGTTATTACGCCTTTGGCATCGAAATGCAGCTTCAGGTCGCGTATGAAAGCTTCTAGCAGCTCCGGGTGAGCCAGGTCGAAACGTGGATAATCGTCCGACATGTTGATGTTGAACCTGGACTCACCCAGAAAACTTGAGGCTGGTGGAGAGCGGAGCCGTTGGGGGCGTAGAGGCCGGTGCGCAAAGTACCCGCCGGGTGTAGATCTGCTGTGAAGCGGAACAAGGGGCTAAGTCCAAAAACCAAGGTTTTCAGGAAACGCAAAAAACTATTTGCACATAACTTTTCAAAAAATTTATGATGCAGATAGAATACACTTCTATCAATGATGTCACTGGCATTTTGAAGTTTTTCAATATCACTCTCCTTTACTGAGATACAGGACTTGACTCTTTTTACCGTCATTGAAATGTTGAGACATGTTGACTTGACTCTTTTCGCATGATGAGAATTTAGAGTTAAGTCATTGGAAAATTGGCAAAAGGGGCTAAGTCAACTTGACTTTTTGGAGGAGAAATCGCAAAAAGAGCCAAGTCAACTTGACTCCATTTGTCATTTTGGAAAAAGGAGCCAAGTCATCTTTTCTCTACAAGCAATTTTAACGGAGCTTAGAACAAAAAGAAGCAATTTACACAAAAATCATGCGCAAGTCCAAAGTCTGATCGGATAATACTGACATGCGCAAAGTTTGTCAACAGGCGTGAAATTAAATCAACAAGGAGTTTTGTTTTCAATCCTAGTATTACCACAATGAGTGAAGTAGCAAAATATATCACTACACAGGGAACAACTTACGAAGTGGTTTGTATTCATCACCTGTTTAGCGCCTTTGTTTTACCAGTGGTTTTAAGGTATAGCTATACTATCTGGTTTCATTGTATAATTCGAGGGGTACACCACTCTTAAAAGTAGGTGTACGCGATTAAAAAAGTCAAGAAAAAAGTCAAGATAAAGTCAAAAAGTCATTTGAAAAGTCAAAAAAAGTCAAAAAGTCAAATAAAAAGTCAAAAAAGTCAAATATAGTCAAAAAAAGTCAATGAAAGTCAACGAGAAGTCGACGAAAAGTCGACGAGAAGTCAGAGAAAAGGCACTGAAAAAGTCAACAAAAAGTCAACAT